CTGAAAAAGATGAAAAAGTTCTGGAGATGAATAATCTTGATAGTTGCACAACAGTGTGAATGTACTTACTGTTAAAGAACTTAAAATGTCACTTAAAAAGGGTTAAAATGCTATATTTTATGTATGTTTTGCCACAATATAAAAATGGGAAAAATCATTTCCTTAAGCACTGGACTTTGTAATCTGTAACTTGTACTGCATTTGGTGCGGGTATGCAATGTGGAAAGTGCTCTTGGATTTTTTTCCCCCATAGTTATAGCATGTGGGAATCTTGATCCACTTCTTGGATAATCGTTTAAAATGTGATGGAGTATTGCAAATGTGCCATAAGTAAAAACCTTTAACAATCTAACCTCTGACAGTGAACTTAGACTGTAAGGTAATTTTTCATTTCTAAGAGCCTGTTGATTTCATCTCATCTCGGAGTCTTAGAAAAAGAGATCTTGAGACATCAAACAATATATGTTGAGTTTAACAAGGAATACAAGATGCTTTGGCTCCATTTTATTTATTTTTCGGTAAATATACACTTGTTTATTTTTTGAGAGGTTTCAGGGAAGTACAACAACATGTAATAAACCATACATATTTAAAGTGGACACTTTGTTAAGTTTTAACATATATACACACCCCTGAAATCATCAACCCAATCAGGATTGTGAAAATGTCCTTGTCCCCTCGAAAGTTTCTTTGTGTTGCTTTTTAATCTCTCCCTCCATCCCATTCCTCAAAACCACTGCCTGCTTTCTGTCATTATAGATTAATTTTCCTTTCTAGAATTTTATAGAAATAGGCCAATACAAAATTTATTCCTTTTTTTGGTCTATTTTCTTTTCTTTTCTTTCTTTCTTTTTTTTTGAGATGGAGTCTCGCCCTGTCACCCAGGCTGGAGTGCAGTAGTGCAATCTCCACTTCCTGGGTTCAAACGATTCTCCCGCCTCAGCCTCCCGAGTAGCTGGGATTACAGACAACCGCCATCATACCTGCCTATTTTTTGTAGTTTTGTAAAGACGGGTTTTCACCATGTTGTCCAGGCTGGTCTTGAACTTCTTACCTCAGGTGATCTGCTTGCCTCGGCCTTCCAATGTGCTGGGATTACAAGTGTGAGCCACCACACTCAGCCCTATTTTCTTATATTCGCCATAATTTTTGGGGGATTCTTCCATGTTGTTGTATTTATCAATGATCCATTTCTTTTTATTATTGAATAGTATTCCACTGTATGGATATACTACTATTTCTTTAATCATTCATTGTGAAGACAATTGAGTTGTTTCAGTGTTGTACTATTACAAATAAAGCTCCTACAAACATTCATATTCAAATCTGTGTGAAGACACATCCTTTCTTTTCTCTTGGATAAGTACTAGGGAGTTGACTGGTTGGATCATGTGGTAGGTATACCTTTTTAAAAAACTGCAAAAATGGTTTTCCAAAGTCATTAGACCATTTTTTGAAAGTTCTAATTGCTCCACATCTTTGCCAATCTCTGATATGGTGAGTCCTTTTAACTTTAGCCATTCTAATAAGTATGTAGCAGTGTCTTATTGTTGTTTAATTTGCATTACATTAATGGCTAATGATGTTGGTCATCTTCTCCTGTCTTGTTTGCTATCTTTGTACCTTCTTTCCTGAAATATGTGTTCAGATCTTTTGTCTGTCTTTTACTGGGTTATGTGCTTTCTTATCATTGAATCTTGAGAATTATTTGTGTATCAATACAAGTTCTTTATCAGAGATGTGACTTGCAAATATATTTTCTCAGTCTGTGACATGTCTTTTAATCATCTTAAGAGAGTCTTTTGAAATGAGCTGCATTTAAAAAAATTCATAGGTGAATTGTTGGGGGATATAAATCATTAAATATAAAACTCATTAAATAATGAGTTAAAGATTTTCTAGGAACACCCTACACATGAATGTCAAAACAGAAGAAGAATGGAAAGATAATGGTCTGATTTGGTGATGACTATGATGTGAACATGTGTTTAGAGTACTCTCCAGCAGGTCAACTAACAAGTTAAGTGGTTAACTTGATCTTACTAAATTAGGAGAGTATAATTTTGTGCTGGCACTTCTAGTCCAATTTTTGTGTTTGTCTTAAACTATCCCAGTAAATTTTAGGCAGTTAAGCTAATGTTTAAAAAGCAACAGTTAATGTTGAGAACAAAAGCATTCATAAAACAGTTCATTTTTTAGGCTCAACAAGCACCAGAGCAATGAGTTTAAAGAAAATGTCTATAGGCAACAAGGTATGGTTCTGGGTGACATTCATCTTCTGATTCTATTACCAGCTGCTGGTTCTCTCTGTGTGTCCCACAGCCAGACCAGCCAAGAAGAAATCCATGTTGATTAGAGCCCTGACATTCTGCTAGGCAAACCTCTCATGCATCAGAAATAGAGCTTGGCCAAGAGGGCTGGGGAGCTTTGCTTTGAAAGGACGGTAGCCATGACAGGTCCTCGTGGTGGAAAGGGCTCTCCTGGGATCAGCTCATTTCACATTCATTGTATTCATTATCTGAACTACACCACCCAAAATCTTTGAGAAAGGTTTTTACCGTGTCAATATACTTAATTGCTATTTGCGTGTCTTCTTTGATGAAGCATCTGTTCCAATTTATTATCTATTTTTATTAGATTGTTTTTGTTATTACTGAGTTTTCAGAGATTTTAAAATATGTATTCTGGAGACAAGTCTTCTGTCAGATATGCGATTTGCAAATACTTTCTCCCAGTCTGTGGCATATTCTTTTCATTTTCTTAAGAGTATTTTATGAATAAGTTCCTGATCAGATGTTATCTGAATACTTGAAAGTGTTTAATACCACCTAAGATGTCTACATAACAGCTTTGTTGACTGCAAAAAAGACTGTACAAATGTGTACTGATATTAACCTGCCTCTGCATGTTCATATGTTTAGGCAAAATTTGTATATTTATATGTAACCCAGATGTTTACCAGCATCTTCTTACTGCTCAAGAGCTAGAAAAGACAGCTCCATCTCCTAATCCAGGTCTATGGATTCCTAAGGTGCAATGTGGGAAGGTGGAAGCTGGCTCTGTTGTCATTGCTTTGCCTTCTGTGTCTTCTAATTTTGTTCATCTATGAAGGTCTGGTCACCCCGTGTTTCTTACCCCATACTATTTCAAACATGAACCGGGCACTCTCTGTGATTTATACACAGAAATTCTACACACATAAGAACTTTTTGTGGGTAGCTATTTTTATTAAAGTTTTAGAGATGATGGTGGAGAGAGTTTCAACACATCAGCACATACAATTTCGTGTTGCGTGTGAGATACCCTGTTCGGAAAAGTTCTTTGTTCATCCCCGCCAGCACAGGTTTTTACTCTCTGCGTTGTTTCAAGTAGTGTCACAGTTCCAGAGCTTTCTGGGGGATTTCTGTCTGTCTCTTTTCTCCTTAAAAGGAAGCTGACATAAAACATCTATTGGTATTTTACTGTCTTTTCTGTTGCCACACCCATAACCTTAAGATCTCACTCGATATTGAGCGAAGTTTCGTTAGATATTTTTCTACAGACTCATTAGATACTTTTCTAAACAAAGAGTGTTTTCCTTATGAGGTATTCTGGTGCCAGCCGAAATAATATTATTATTTTACTTTATTCCTCATGCATAGTCATCGGTTCAGCACATGCAAATGTACACGTCTGGGCTAGTCACCATCTTTTTTTTTTTTTGAATTAATTTTAATTGTTACTTATCTTCTATTGGTTATGGACATATTTTTGGCATTCTGGATGGGCTGACATGCTAAGCTGTGACACAATATTTCTAATCCTGCAGAAGTGCCCTGTCTCCTGTCATTCTGGCCCCAGCATGGAGGTAGAGCAGGTCTTTCCAAGAACTTGCCAGTTTCTGGACCAGTTTAGCAGTTCAATCGAGAGAAAGCGGTGGACAATAGGGGCCCATCGGTAGGAGAGATTTCTTTAGCTTCCTCTTGGCTGCTCTAGACACTGCCTGGACTCTGCATTGCTACTTGCTGATCTTGTCCTTGAGTTCAGGAACAAGGGGAGTTCAGCAGCAGAAGGGCTTTTGGCAGAGCTGGGGTGGAGAGAGAAGCTGGAGACGGCCTTGACTGGTTTGAGTCCACAGCAGCAGGCCCACCAGGATGACGTTTCTTGTTTGCATAGCTGGTGTTACCCGCTTTGAGCCAGAAGGGGGAGACCTGAGTTCATTGTCTGCACAATAGTAGCAAGCTTTTCTGGAACTCTTAATGGACAGATTACTTCTCCTGAAAGCTGATTCCTTTAAAAGGAACTCAGATTTCTGTACTGCTCTAGGAAAAAATGCCTAGATACAAATAAAAACGTTTATGATTCTTCCCTTTGTACTTCTTTTTTAAATCTCCACTCACTATAGAGTGAATGAAATCACTATGTGACCATGGGCAGTTACTAAATTTCTTTGAGATTTAGTTTCCTCTCCTGCAAAATGGCAATAATGTACTTGTGCCTGCCTTAGGGGTTCTTGCGGAGATTAAATCTGATTACCTACATAGGAGCTCAGCATAATGCCTATTTCATTAGAAGCTCTCAATAAACAGCAACTGCTACTGGCAGTAATAGCCATTATAACCCAAGTTCTGAGTTTCAGTACAAAGACAAAAACCTAACCAGTCGGCCCATGCTGACCACGTGCCCAAAGAGATCCTGGAAACGCTTGATATTTTTCCAGATGTAAGCCCCAGGAAAAATTATTGCCCTCTCGATCCCACCTAAACTTGCCTTCCTCCTGTGTTCTTTGGCTTTTTGCTTGGTTAGAAACTGGACTTAAACTGCTGCACCTGTCTTGGATTTGGCTTTAGGGACTATGTGGCACCCACAATGCAGAGCAACAGGAAAAACTAGAAAGGACATTCCTGAAATTCTGCATGAATAGGCAGTTTTTTTCCCAGTTATCATTAGTTTATTATAAAAGAGAGATATGGAAATTATTTACATGATGAAAGATTTCAGAACTTTCAGTGGAATGGGCAGCTTCACATTGATGCCATTTCAATAGTGACTTATTTCAGTCTACGTACTTTCCAAGAATGTCACCATCTCTAAATAGGAAATAATCCTTGTCATCTAGAACTACTTTGGTGCCTCCATATTCTGGGAGAAGAACTTTATCTCCAACTTTCACGCTAACTGGTTGAATCCCTCCACCCTTTCCTTTAGAACCCGATCCAACAGCGACTACTGTTGCTTGCAATACTTTTCCTTGAGATTTTTCTGGAAGCATAATGCCTCCTTTGGTTACAGTTTCAGCAGCACTCCTTTCAACCAATACTCGGTCAAAGAGTGGGAGAAACTTTCTAAATTCCTGTCCTGCCATGACTCCCTCAGCCTCAGACTCGTACTCTGCTCTGGCGCACCGTGGCAAAGAGGCAGACTTAAGTTTTTTGAAAAAATAGGGAGAAAACTAACCAGATGGCTAGAGTACAGAGGGTTGTTCTTCCTCTTGTGTCTGTGTCATGGTAGCAGACAGAGACCCACAGCTCCCCTAAGATGTCCACACTTCTTGGCTGTCCCATGAAGAGCATGATAAAGAGATTGCTGCTCAATAGTGTCATGGAAGTAACTAGGACTTCTCACCCTTAAGCTTGCAGGGATGGTAGGGGTTACACAATTATTTAAAAATCTTTCCAGGAGTAGAGTATCCCCAAATAACATGGTAGGGGTTAGGGTGGGCACAAAAGCTGACCTATTCCTCTGGCTACTCCTGATGGTCAGCTAAATTCTAACTTTAGGACCGGAGAATCTGGAGCACACAGCAGGAGCAATGGGGGCCCCAGGCTTAGTTCCAGACCCTCCTGCTTGCCTCTTCCCTTTCAATCCCATATCAGTTCATGCCATATTTATCCCCCGGTAAGGTTCGGGTCCCCTTATTATCTCTTACCTTGTATATTCCACATGGCTTTCTTGAATTTTAAATTCCTTAAAGGCAGAGGCCAGAAAGTATACCAGTTTGGAGGTATATTTTAAAAAGAATATCTACTAGGTATTCAGTAATTTTTAAAAATATGGATGGCTATATAAATCAAATTGAAATTAAAACTGCCTTGTTGACTTTTGTATTAAAAATAATTTATTTTTCAAAATAAAAATTTAAATAAATAAAAGTAACTCATAATTTAATAAAAATTTTAAAGTCTTCTAGTGTCCTTTCAAAAGCAGTGCATTAGCCATCAGTCACTTAAACAGCATTTGCTTGTTGAAGAATGCTTGAAGTAATTGTCCAGTCCCAGAGGCATACATAGGCTAGGAGATCTTCAGTTTCAGAGGTAACCTGTAAGTCTGTCAATAAAGTAAAAGTTCCTGAGGATTTCCGCACTGACTATGGTCCAGGCACAGTGGCTGTACTCCTTGGCCATCAGGTAATGCAGAATCCTCCCATAATATCTTTTCAGGTGTAGACTGCTCATGGATTTTTCCCTGGTGAATTCTTTTTTCTCCCATTTTTCTTTCAGGATTGTCTTCAAATGTTCTATGTGCTGATAGACATTAGCAAGGAAGTTCTCAACAATAGTCTTATTCCAGCCAGTCCTAGAGAAATCTCCATTGAAAATAGTAAAAATATTCTGGAGCATCTCATAGACGATTAATGCCACGTCCTCCTTCTGGAGCCGCTGCGGTTGTGTGATCTCCTTAGGGATCTCAAAGTCCATCCTGTCCTTGAGGCAATATTCAAGCCTTCCATTCAGTTGCCGTAGGAGCTTCTGACTCTGAAAATTGCTTCTTCTTTGTAGGAATCCAAGTAAGTTGTAGCTCATGGAAATAGCTGTAGTGGAGAAGCACAACAGGAGAGCAATTTGGAGGAGACACTTGTGGGTCATGATGAAAACAGACAGTGTACCCTACTACCTGTTGTGCCAGAGCAGTCTTCAAAAGGTTGCAGTTAGAATGTCCTTTCTCCATGGGTATGGCCTATTTATATGAGATGGTCCTCTATCTATTCACAGGAATTTCCCACTTTCAGTTCTCCCTTTCTGTTTTCCTATGTCACTTTTACATTTGTAGTTAAGCTATTATATTCATGCAACTAGAATTGTCGCAAATGTACATAAAATATAGTATTTTGACCAAAGGAAGTTATTTCCAGAAAACTGAGGATGACTGAATATTATATGGCTTATATCATATGGAACAAATTATAAGGTCAATAACCAAATCTAGAAAAATAATTAGAGATATTAAAAATACTATTAAAACAAGAAAGATCTTTCTCAGAATATTTAAAACCCAGAAACTATAACAGAAAATACCGATAAATATGGCTATAGACAAATGATAAGTTTCTGTACAGCAAAAAACATAAAGTCAGAAAGGAAGAGGAGTATCAAAAACATTTACAGTGCACAATGAGAAGGGATGATTTTCTTCATTTATGAAAAGCTCCTAAAATTAATAACAATTCAACATAAAAGCTTATAAATAGCTAGATACCAGGAAAAGCAATATAAGTCACCAATAAAAATATGAAAATCTGCTCTGTAGTATTGATTAAGAAATGTAGTTCAAACTTGTAATGAGGTAACCATTTTTCACCGATCAGATTTTCAAGGGGCACTGGGTAATGGGTATTTTACTATACTTTCAATAAAAGTATAATTTCTGCAAACTTTTTTGGAGGGTGGGAAAAATTGTTTTTTCAAAATCAGCCTGAACGATATCCACCATGACTACCCATTAAGAGATGGGGTCTGCCTCTCTTCCTCTTGAATCTGAATAGATTTCTGTGACAGAAATAATGCTATGTAATTTTCGAGGCTGGGTCAGAAAAGATGATGTAACTTCTAACTTGCCAGCTGAAATTTTGCTCTTGAAGCCTTTGGCCAGGATGGTCTGACTGCCCTGACTCTGCCATGTTGTGGGAAAACTCAAACTAGCTTATAAGGAGAAACCATAAAAATTGACTATATATTTTAAAATTTTAAATTTTAAACAATGAAATTGTTCCTTTAACTTGCAATACCATGACTAGGAATGTACCTATGGTTATCCCTCCAGAAGTATGCATTCATATGTGTGTGTATATTATAGAGATGTACAAAACATATATAAAAGTTTATTATATTACTATTATAATAAAAAGGACAAATGTCCACAGTAGGGAGCTTGTCAAGTAATACTATCATGTAGACAAGATGGAATATTATTCAGTCATCAAAAAGGGTGGTCAACTGATATAGATTCATATTATAGATAAATTTAGTGAAAAGAGCAATACACATAAGAGGATGTGATATTATCATTTGTTTTGTAAGTTACTAGAAAGCTATACATATGATGCTGTTATATGCATACAATTTTTCCTCTGGGTGTGATTACTATCTATTAATACTAGTTACCATGGGGAATAATGCTGATGGGGTGAGGATGCAGCTAGGAAGAAAAGCCTTTACCTTTTCACATTATACCTTTAGAACTATCTATATAAGAGCTTTCCTTGTAATAAGAAGAGGTCTGGGAAATAGGGTTATTAGGCTACTAGGTCATCAGGTTGTTACCTCTGTAATTTAGTGCACTTTGAGAAAATTTAATAAATGTTACTAAAATTTAACCTTTATTTTGTTTTATTTGCATTTAAGTTGTTCTATTATGTGCATATATTATTTTTATCATTAGGAAATTTAAAATACACCAGTTAAAATTGAAAAATACAACATAAAATTATACATACAACATGACTATACAAAAATATGTAGAGAAAAATTAATAAAAGGAAGTTAATCAACCTTTTAATAGTGACTTGATTTGGCTTGTGAAACTAAAGAGTGATTTTTCTTCCTCCTTATGTTCTTTGTATTCTCCACCAATAAACAAGCATTGTTTCCTAATAGACTAATTTACACTATAAAATTAACAAGTCCCAGCTCTTCCGGTTATTCTACCTCTTCTATGGGTTTTATTTTCTCTGGCCTGTTGGCCTTTGCAGGTCAGCTCTTAGCAGGTCCTTGGCCATCTCATACGTTTTAGAAACAATGAGTTTTGGAAACTCAAAAAAAATCTCGGCTCTTTCATTCAAAAATGTGTTATGTCAGTGATTGAGTAATTCCTTGGGGTTTTGAAAAGCATTCTTGGGGGCCGGGTGCGGTGGCTCAAGCCTGTAATCCCAGCACTTTGGGAGGCCGAGGCAGGTGGATCACGAGGTCGAGAGATCGAGACCATCCTGGTCAACATGGTGAAACCTCGTCTCTACTAAAAATACAAAAAATTAGCTGGGTATGGTGGCACGTGCCTGTAATCCCAGCTACTCAGGAGGCTGAGGCAGGAGAATTGCCCGAACCCAGGAGGCGGAGGTTGCGGTGAGCCGAGATCGCGCCATTGCACTCCAGCCTGGGCAACAAGAGCGAAACTCCGTCTCAAAAAAAAAAAAAAAAAAAGAAAAGAAAACAACAGTAGTGGCAGTAGTATCAGTAGTAGTAGTTATCGTTATCATGTATTGAGCACTATCATATATTGAGCACTAGCTAGTTATCATATATTGAGTTATCATATATTGAGCACTATCTAGATAGATAGAGACCACAGCCAGAAGAATGAACAAGTCTGCAGGAGCAAATACAAGGAGCTTCAATTGTGAACAGGCTTTGTTTTAGGAATCAAGGAGACTGGGGTAGAAAAATCAGGTTGAGCGGTATTGTGGAGTCTTGAATGCCAGAGTATAGCATTTGGATTTAATTCAAGAGGTCTTAGGCAGAAAGGAGACTGGAGTTTTTCCCTGGGCAGAGCAACAGGAAGAAATGTTAGAGGTGATTAGATCAGGGAGAGGCAAGGCGAACTCCTGCCCAGAGGTTATCATGGCTGTGGAGGGTGAAAATAAAGGCCATAGCTGTGGAATGGAACAAAAGGAATGGAAACAGAATACTAAAAAGGGATTTTTTTTTTTTCTGTTTTCTTCTCTTGGTTCTTGCGTTACTTCCTTTTATTGTGCTCATGAGGTGCTTCCTAATACTTCATTTCCAGTTGCCTTTATGGAGTTTCTCCTCTACCCCCTCTCCTGAGGAATAGTCATCATCATGGCAGAAGCTCACCTATGAATGGGTAAAAGTTTTTTATTTTTTAAGATGTCATTTTTTTGGCTTCATTTCTCTCATTTTATTAGAGTTGTATCAGAATAACAAGGAAACTTTATTTAACCTTCTGTCTACCAGGGAAACCTATTTCTTAGACCAGCCCAATGTATATCTGTATTGCAAAGGTTAATGCCCAGCCTGTTCCTGTCTTCTTTCCCTTTGTTATTTGTCCCTTCTGTGGACATTATTTTTACACACATCCTTTCCTCTCATGGTTAACTTTCCGTTGTATGAAAAAACTACTTCCAGTCCCCGTACCAGTTCTTTGTGGTTAATGAGGTTTGGAGAGACAGAGTGACATCTAGCAAGTGAAACTTGAATGACATTTCCAGTCATTTGAAATCATTTTAATTTGGAACTGCTTTCCTGTATGTTTCAGAGATAGGAAGCAATTTGTCCTCCTCTTTTGAATATAATTATCTCTGCAGGACTATTATGTATCTAGAAATGAAAATTCCAGTTGTCTTCTCTTCCTCCTCATATCTTCAATTATTTTTCAAGGAAAAGGGTTCCTATCAAAAAATGATAAATTATACAAGATGAAGAATTATTGAGAAGTCCATAAGCAGTGGCAGAACAGAAATGAAGCCAAAAGTAATCTTTCAAAATATCTCGGGAGGCCAGCAAATTCCTTCACAAGAAATTAATACATAAAAGGGAGAATTCCCGTTCTCTTTTTTAAGAAAAAGTTTATAAAACAATAATGTACATAGAAAATTATGCATACATCTTAAGTAAATAGCTCAATGAATTATTATAAAATAAAAACATCTACACTCTTTTGTAACCACAAACTAAACGTTATCAGCACAACACAAATTGCCCTCTTGTTCCCTCCTGTCTTAGTCTCTTTGGATTGCTCTAACAAAACACCGCAGACTGAATGCTGTATAAACAGCAAGCATTTGTTTCTACAATTCTGGAGGCTTAAAAAGCCAAGATCAAGACCCTAGCAGATTCGGTGTCTGATGAGGGCTTGCTATTTGCTTTGCATATGGCACCTTCTCATTGCATTTTCATATGGTAGAATACGGAAACAAGCTCCCTCAGGCTTCTTTTAGAAACCACTAATCCCATTAGTTTGGGCTTTTCTCCCATTACCTAATTACCTATTAAAGGACCCGCTTTTTAAAATGATTGCATTGGGGGTTAGATTTTAAAGTTAAATTTGGGGGACACAAACCTTCAGGCTATAGCACCTCTCAATCATTACTCTCTCTCCTCTCTCGTCACTACTTTCTTCTCCCAATGTCACTGCCATACAACCTTTTAATACTCTATATTCTGCCTGTTTTTGAGCTTTGTATAAATATAAATGGCTTCTTCCTCTCAATAGAATGCCTGTTAAATTCATCTATGTTGTATGTGTAGTTTATTAATTCACATTAATGTGTCTTACCCTATTCAGAAGTATTCCATAATGTTTTACACCTTCTACTACTAATAAACATTTAAAAAAATTTGCCATGGTATTAATGCTGCTATGAAATTCCTTGTCTGTACCTTTTACTGTGCATTAGTACACACTTTTTTTGGGTAAATGCTTAGAATGAAGTAACTGGATCATAGAATATGTATATGTCCAGACTTAACAGATAATATTGTAATGACTTCCCAAATGTTTGTACCAATTGACATTCTTACTATCAGTGTTTGAGAGTTCCAGTTGTATCAGACTCTTGCCAACTTTGATATTATCAGTCTTTTTAATTTCAACCATTCTATTGTTGTATAATGATACCTCATTATAATTTAATTTATTATTAATATGCTTTAGCATCTTCTCATATGTTTATTGACCATTTGGATATTTTCTTTGTGAAGAGCCTGTTCAATCTCTT